GGGTGTTTTCCCTGTGCCACTGCAGGCCTGGCCAGGCTCTGGTTACACCTGAGGGTCCCACATGGGGGGGATTAGTGTCTGCTGCATGCTCTGCTCAGAAAGGTTGTCTTCCTTCCCCAGGGGATGTGGTGGTGGTGGTGGAGGGACCTACACACTGTTGATTCTAAATTTCCCCACCCTGAATTTCCTCCTGTTACTGCTTGAATGTTAAAGGGTCCCAGAGAGCAGCCCCTCCTGGGTGCAGAAAGCACCGTGGGTTTAAAAGAGGTTGGTTGTGTGGGTTCAGCTTCAGAGTCTCCCTTCAGGCAGCTCCCCAAGCCAGTGCTGTGCTCTGTTGCTCTGCAGGAGCTGCCTGCTCCATCAGGATTTTAAACTTGATGGGATTTGCAGCACTTGGAGGCACCACCAGGGAAGTTTCAGACACACTCCACTTTTCCAGTAAACTCGAGGCACGCAGTCCCTGCTGACTCTGTTCCCTCATGTTGGGCTGGGAGGCCTTAGCATGGCTGGACTGTGCCTTGTCTCCAGATTTTTGCCCAAGTGGTTTTGCTGGGAAGCTTTCTTCTTGCTTGGGTATTTTTTAGACTCATAGGAAGGTTTGGGTTGGAAAGGACCTTAAAAGATCATGCAGTTCCAACCCCCCTGCATGGGCAGGGACACCTCCCAGCAGCCCAGGCTGCTCCAAGCCCCATCCAACCTGCCCTTCAACACTGCCAGGGATGGGGCAGCCACAGCTTCCCTGGGCAACCTGGGCCAGGCTCTCAGCACCTTTTTTAACTTCCTGGGAAGAGCTGCTGTGCCTTTGGCCCTTGCTCAGCCCAAACATGTTCCCGTTCAGCGCCTACATTTCTGCTCCTCAGCTTCTCACTGTGTTTCCCTTTCAGAACGTGCTACGAGGACCTGCTAAACGTGTAAGTATCTCTGGACACCTCCTAGTATTGTTGGGAGCCCACTCAGATCCCCTCAAGAGGCAAACACCTCCAGGGGAAAAGGGGGCTTTTCACTTCCCCTTTGGAAGAACCACCCGATTTGTGCTGTTTCTCTTGGGCTGGAGCCCTGTTAAAGCTCTAAACTCGTCCCTCTGGGTGGGCTGGGTTTGTGGCCCTTCTCCATCCTCTGCCTTAGGCTTTTCCTCTTCCCCTCCCTGCCAGAGGGTACTCAGATTTTCCTCTTCCCCTCCCTGCCAGAGGGTACTCAGATTTTCCTCTTCCCCTCCCTGCCAGAGGGTACAGGTGCCCCCTGTGCATGCGCTCGGCCGTGGACATGAGGCAGTCCTGGCAGCAGCTGGATGAGGAGGTGGCACGGACCCCCATGCCCCCCGAGCACCACAACAGGCTGGTGGAGGTGAGAGAGAGGAGAAAAACCCCCCACGGGGCTCTGCTGGGGCAGCAGAGGGCAGCAGGGACTTGTCCACCTGAGGGTAGGGGAGTGGTGAAGCAAGAAAAGCTGCTCCCCAGGGAACTGCTGAATCCACTCTGGGAGCTATGGAACCAGACTGGGATTAGCACTGCAGGGAACCAGACTGGGATTAGCACTCCAGAGGAACCAGACTGGGATTAGCACTCCAGAGGAACCAGACTGGGATTAGCACTCCAGAGGAACCAGACTGGGATTAGCACTCCAGAGGAACCAGACTGGGATTAGCACTCCAGAGGAACCAGACTGGGATTAGCACTCCAGAGGAACCAGACTGGGATTAGCACTCCAGAGGAACCAGACTGGGATTAGCACTCCAGAGGAACCAGACTGGGATTAGCACTCCAGAGGAACCAGACTGGGATTAGCACTCCAGAGGAACCAGACTGGGATTAGCACTCCAGAGGAACCAGACTGGGATTAGCACTCCAGAGGAACCAGACTGGGATTAGCACTCCAGAGGAACCAGACTGGGATTAGCACTCCAGAGGAACCAGACTGGGATTAGCACTCCAGAGGAACCAGACTGGGATTAGCACTCCAGAGGAACCAGACTGGGATTAGCACTCCAGAGGAACCAGACTGGGATTAGCACTCCAGAGGAACCAGACTGGGATTAGCACTCCAGAGGAACCAGACTGGGATTAGCACTCCAGAGGAACCAGACTGGGATTAGCACTCCAGAGGAACCAGACTGGGATTAGCACTCCAGAGGAACCAGACTGGGATTAGCACTCCAGAGGAACCAGACTGGGATTAGCACTCCAGAGGAACCAGACTGGGATTAGCACTCCAGAGGAACCAGACTGGGATTAGCACTCCAGAGGAACCAGACTGGGATTAGCACTCCAGAGGAACCAGACTGGGATTAGCACTCCAGAGGAACCAGACTGGGATTAGCACTCCAGAGGAACCAGACTGGGATTAGCACTCCAGAGGAACCAGACTGGGATTAGCACTCCAGAGGAACCAGACTGGGATTAGCACTCCAGAGGAACCAGACTGGGATTAGCACTCCAGAGGAACCAGACTGGGATTAGCACTCCAGAGGAACCAGACTGGGATTAGCACTCCAGAGGAACCAGACTGGGATTAGCACTCCAGAGGAACCAGACTGGGATTAGCACTCCAGAGGAACCAGACTGGGATTAGCACTCCAGAGGAACCAGACTGGGATTAGCACTCCAGAGGAACCAGACTGGGATTAGCACTCCAGAGGAACCAGACTGGGATTAGCACTCCAGAGGAACCAGACTGGGATTAGCACTCCAGAGGAACCAGACTGGGATTAGCACTCCAGAGGAACCAGACTGGGATTAGCACTCCAGAGGAACCAGACTGGGATTAGCACTCCAGAGGAACCAGACTGGGATTAGCACTCCAGAGGAACCAGACTGGGATTAGCACTCCAGAGGAACCAGACTGGGATTAGCACTCCAGAGGAACCAGACTGGGATTAGCACTCCAGAGGAACCAGACTGGGATTAGCACTCCAGAGGAACCAGACTGGGATTAGCACTCCAGAGGAACCAGACTGGGATTAGCACTCCAGAGGAACCAGACTGGGATTAGCACTCCAGAGGAACCAGACTGGGATTAGCACTCCAGAGGAACCAGACTGGGATTAGCACTCCAGAGGAACCAGACTGGGATTAGCACTCCAGAGGAACCAGACTGGGATTAGCACTCCAGAGGAACCAGACTGGGATTAGCACTCCAGAGGAACCAGACTGGGATTAGCACTCCAGAGGAACCAGACTGGGATTAGCACTCCAGAGGAACCAGACTGGGATTAGCACTCCAGAGGAACCAGACTGGGATTAGCACTCCAGAGGAACCAGACTGGGATTAGCACTCCAGAGGAACCAGACTGGGATTAGCACTCCAGAGGAACCAGACTGGGATTAGCACTCCAGAGGAACCAGACTGGGATTAGCACTCCAGAGGAACCAGACTGGGATTAGCACTCCAGAGGAACCAGACTGGGATTAGCACTCCAGAGGAACCAGACTGGGATTAGCACTCCAGAGGAACCAGACTGGGATTAGCACTCCAGAGGAACCAGACTGGGATTAGCACTCCAGAGGAACCAGACTGGGATTAGCACTCCAGAGGAACCAGACTGGGATTAGCACTCCAGAGGAACCAGACTGGGATTAGCACTCCAGAGGAACCAGACTGGGATTAGCACTCCAGAGGAACCAGACTGGGATTAGCACTCCAGAGGAACCAGACTGGGATTAGCACTCCAGAGGAACCAGACTGGGATTAGCACTCCAGAGGAACCAGACTGGGATTAGCACTCCAGAGGAACCAGACTGGGATTAGCACTCCAGAGGAACCAGACTGGGATTAGCACTCCAGAGGAACCAGACTGGGATTAGCACTCCAGAGGAACCAGACTGGGATTAGCACTCCAGAGGAACCAGACTGGGATTAGCACTCCAGAGGAACCAGACTGGGATTAGCACTCCAGAGGAACCAGACTGGGATTAGCACTCCAGAGGAACCAGACTGGGATTAGCACTCCAGAGGAACCAGACTGGGATTAGCACTCCAGAGGAACCAGACTGGGATTAGCACTCCAGAGGAACCAGACTGGGATTAGCACTCCAGAGGAACCAGACTGGGATTAGCACTCCAGAGGAACCAGACTGGGATTAGCACTCCAGAGGAACCAGACTGGGATTAGCACTCCAGAGGAACCAGCCTGGGATTAGCACTCCAGGGGAACCAGACTGGGATTAGCACTCCAGAATACCCACCCACAGAGTGCCAGGCTGGAAGGGACCTCAAGGATCATCTGGTCCAGCCTTCCTAGTTGACAGGAGGTGGCTCAGCACCCTGTCCAGCTGAGGCTTCAAGCTGCCCAGCGTGGGGGAATCCACCATTCCCCTGGGAGACTATTCCTGGGCTTGATTGTCCTCAAGGTGAAGAATTTACCTCTGACATTTACCTCTTAACCAGGAGCAACTTGTGCCCATTCCCCCTTGTCTTTTCCACGTGGCTCCCTGTGAAGAGGGAGCCCCCATCTTCTTGGAAGCCACCCTGTATGGCCTGGCTCCTGGCAATAAGGTCTCTCCAAAGCCTGACTTGGGCAAGGAGTCACCTTGCTACACCAGCAGTAAATGCTCCCTGCCTGCCCAGTGTGGTGGGAGCAGTTTCAGATGGAAGAACTTCACCAGTCTTTAAAAAGAAGGTGTTTTCTGCTTTGTTCCCTGGTGGCAAAGCTGCCAGAAGCTTGGCTGGAGAGGGGCCAGGCTTGTCAGGGGTGTCCAGGACAAGGGGGCAATGGGCACAAACTGGGGCACAGGAGGTTGAACCTGAACCTGAGAAAACACTTCATCCCTCTGAGGGGACCAGAGCCCTGGAACAGGCTGCCCAGGGAGGCTGTGGAGTCTCCATCTCTGGAGACATTCCCAGCCAGCCTGGACATGTTCCTGTGTGATCTGCTCTGGGGGATCCTGCTCCAGCAGAAGGGTTGGACTGGATGATCTCCAGAGGTCCCTTCTAACCCTCACCAGGCTGTGATTCTGTAATTTATTGATGGTGTGACCTGGTGAAGGTGTTTGTGCCTCTCTCTGTGCCACCAAGGGCCTGAAAAGCAGCAGGTGGACCATCCAGGTGGGGAGAACAAGCACCTGATGCCAGGAGGTGTTGCCCTCAATGGAGGGATGTCCCTGTCCCAACACCCCTCTCCTCTTCCCACCTCAGCCCCTGGGGATTTCTCTCCCCCCCCCAGCACCTCCTAGGGTGCTGCAGAAGGGTTAAAAAAGAAACACCCCAACAAACCCACCCAGGGAAGTGTCACAAAAACAAAAGCTTTGTTATTTTTCCTCTCTTTCCAAGAAAAAAAACCACAACAACCCATCCAACCCAACCCTCCTCCATCCCCAACCAGCCTGGACACGTTCCTGGGGGGATCTGCTCTGGGGGATCCTGCCCCAGCAGAGGGGTTGGATGGATGATCTCCAGAGGTCCCTTCTAACCCTCCCCAGTGGTTCTGTGTTTTGCTGAGCATCCTGCTGGTGCTTAAAGCCTCTTCCTCCCTGTGCTGTGTGTGTGCAGATCCTTTGCCACGACTGCAGCGCCCGCTCCTCCGTGCAGTTCCACTTCCTGGGCTTGAAGTGCAGAGCCTGTGGGTCCTACAACACCGCCCAGGATGGGAAATCCCAGCTGCCTTTGGAGGAGCAGTGACCCTGCTGTGCTCAGCTGGGTAAGGAAGGCTCTGCTGTGGAAGGGGCTGCCTGTTCCAAAGCCTCACTTGGCAGTAAAAACGCACTCAGAGCTGTCGCAGCGAAGTGGTACCGAGATGTAATTAATGCTGGTGCAAAGGAGCTGTGCTAATTGTGGCCCCTCCCTAGTGGGCAGAGCAGGCAGGAGGTTCCCTGCTGAGCAGCAGGATTCCCAGTGCAGTGTCTGGAGAGGGTGGTGTCAGAGGAGGGATGGCCTAGAGGAATGGCTGGTGAGAGGCAGGATGAGCAGGGAGGTGCAGATGTTTGGGGTCAGCTGTGAGGAAGCAGGGCAGGAGCTGGAAGTCCCAGCTCTTCTGGTTGCAGCTGTTGGGGATAAATGAGCCATTTTGAGAGGCCTTTTTCCCAGAAAGCTGCCACCTGCAGGGTTCCATGCGAGTCCATTCTGTTCCTTCTCAGTTACCTGTTTGTTCTGGGGGCCCCAGAGGCCTTGGGGCCAGTGGCTGGAGGGAAGGAGCTTGCAGAAGTCTCCTCCTTTGGCTTGATGCTTGGGAACCAGGCTGGCCTGCCTGCAGACCTGCCCTCAGCAGCCTAAAAACGGAGCCACAAGGCCACCCTTCTCCTCCCACACCCCTCTGACCTGCTGCCTCTTCCCTCAGGTTCCTTTGCCAGCTGCCATCACATCTTGTTCCTCTTTTTACTTACAAAGGCTGAGGTGTCCAAGGGCTTCAGGGGAGCCTGGAGCTCAGTGTTCTGCTGCTGAAGTCTACAAAGTGAGGCCCTTCACCACTGTCTTGTCACCTTTGTCACCAGGCTGAGCCTGAGCTGTTTGCTCTTCCAGGCACTGTGGTTGTGCAGGGACCAATTCTCTCTTTGGGTTGTGTTTTGTTGGTTTTTTAAATGATATCTGATTTGATTGGGTTTTTTTTTTTAAAAAGTGTTTTTAAAAAAAGCCCACAGACCTTCCCAGCCTGTGTTTTTTGCAAGAAGATCTTGGTTTCTGGGAATTCCAGGACATGGCAATAGTGCTCAGTAAGGAAATAAAATGTTACCAGGAAGCCCAGCTGCTCTGCATCATAAAACTCTCTGGTTTTATTCACTTGTTCTACTGTAAAACAACAGCTTTTCCCCTCAGTCTGGCAATGTGGAATATCAGGACTGGGATGAGGGTGTTCCTGGGCTTTCTGGGGTGTTTTTTTTTCCCTGAAGCCCTTTCCTCACTGCCATAAATAAAAGCTTTAACCAGACATGTTGTTTTACCAACTGCTCCCTGTGTGAGGTGCTCTCCTTTCACCCCTGTAGGTTCTGGAAACTCCCAGCTGAGTTTAAACAATGATTCAGGGCTGAGAAACGAGGGTGTCTGGATGGGTGAGCCCTGGGTCTGTGTTTGGAAAGTAACACCCCAAGCTGCCTCCACCATCCTTCCTTTTCCAAAGGGTGGCACAGGGGGTGTGGATGGCAGAGCTGTCCTGTGGGTCTTTTTCCCCCCCTCAGTGGCAATTTGGATGAGTCCCACGGTGGGGAACCCTGTGTGGGGCCAGGTGTGTTGTGTCAGCTCATCCAGAGTCCCTCATAGAATCCCAGGGGTTGGAAGGGACCTGGAAAGCTCCCCCAGCCCAGCCCCCCTGCCAGAGCAGGGGCACCCAGAGCACATCACACAGGAACGTGGCCAGGGGGGTTTGAATGTCTCCAGAGAAGGAGACTCCACAGCCTCTCTGGGCAGCCTGGCCCAGGGCTCTGGCACTCTCACAGCAAAGAAGTTCTTCCTGAGATTCACATGGAACCTCCTGGGCTCCAGTTTGCACCCACTGCCCCTTGTCCTGTCACTGGACATCACTGCACAAAGCCTGGCTCTGCCCTCCTGACACTGCCCTGAACAGATTTGTGCCCATGGATGAGGTGGCCCCTCAGTCTCCTCTTCTCCAAGCCCAACAGACCCAGCTCCCTCAGCCTTTCCTCAGCAGGGAGATGTTCCCCTCCCTCCAGCATCTCTGTGCCTCTGCCCTGGGCTCT